AGAGAGAGCGACACAGTTGAGCTAGAGAGTAAATAAAATGGCCCCTAATACGATGGATATAGATTCATAAAGTGGCAGTAGCTGAACTATTGCTACTGTTAACTATGAGGACTAATTAAGGCAATGTCAGGAACATTTTCTTTCTTTTTCCTTTTTTTAACTCTGTGTTTCTTCGTTATCTGAATTTATCCTCATGCAGGTTGGAAACTGCTGAAATCTTAGGAGCTCTTTTATTCTAAGCCAAATCAGTCAGATTACAAACCCCATTGTATTTTAGATAACCCGAGTGATTACTCAGGTGCTCAAAAGCTTTTAGAGAACTGCTAAACCTCATGTATTTCTGGGCAGTATTAGCAATTAAAAGAGTTTAATTTTCTATGTTAGGTGAAATTGATTCCGGTTTGGATTTCTTTATTTGGATTGAGAGATATTTTAACCAGGTTAAAATATTGGTGAAAAGCCATCTCTAATGAGACTTAAAATCATAAAGCTACTTCCCCATTCAGTTCTTGTCACTATTTCAGGGTACTGCTGGGCAATAGGACATGAGTTCCCATTGCTTATGGGATCTTCAGATGTACATCCCTCCAATGGATTCGACTCAGTATTGTTAAGACATCAATTTTCCGCAACGTGATTTATAGATTGAAAGCAATCCCAGTAAAAATCCCGGTAAGATTTTTAGAAGAAATTAACATATTCTCTGATTTCTAACTTATTACAAAGTTATACATTAGACAATGCGGTATTGGAGAAAGGACACCCATATAAATCAATGGAATGGAATCAAGAATTCAGAAATAGACCCAAAAATATATGGTCAAATGATTTTTGATAATTAGGAAAAAATAAAAACATTTTAAGCTGAGGAGATACGGGACAAATTATTTGCCCTCATGGAGCCTACCTTCAAATGGGCAAGACAAATAATTTTTAAAGTAAAAAATAATTCAATAGTGAAATTTGGGCTGGGTGCAATAGCTCATACCCACAATCCCAGCACTTTGGGAGGCTGAGGCAGGTGGATCACCTGAGGTCAGGAGTTCAAGACCAGCCTGGCCAACCTGGTGAAACCCCGTCTCTACTAAAAATACAAAAAATTAGCTGGGTGTGGTGGTGGACGCCTGTAATCCCTGCTACTTGGGAGGCTGAGGCAGGAGAATCACTTGAACCCAGGAATCACTTGAAGGCAGAGGTTGCAGTGAGCCGAGATCACGCCATTGCACTCCAGCCTGGGCAACAAGAGCGAAACTCCATCTCAAAAAAAAAAAAAAAAAAAAAAGCTGGGTGCAGTGGCATGCGCCTATAATCCCAGCTCCCAGCTACTCAGGAGGCTGAGGCAGGAGACTAACTTGAACCTGGAGGTGGAGGTTGCAGTGAGCCGAGATCACACCACTGCACTCCAACCTGGGCGAGGAAGAGAGATTCTGTCTCAAAGAAAGGAATAAGAAAAAAGAAAAGAAAATTGACAGTAGTGAATGCTATGAAGAAATAAATCAGGATAAAGGCATAGAAAATGACTTGTAGTGGTGCTATTTAAATAGGGTGGATAGAGATGATTGGTGGTTGAACAGAGCTATGAATAATGAGAAGGATGAACACGATGGGACCTATTTTTAAGTCTACTCTTTCAATTCTTTTTAATATTCATTTATTCTTTAAAGAAATATTTGTTGAGCACCTATTATGTGCCAGATATTATTCTAAGTGCTGGAGGTAGAACAGTAAATAAAATAGACAAACCCCCAGCCCCCATGGTGCTTACTTTGTTTTTTGGTAGGGAAGCAAAAAATAAACTTCACAAATAGGTCAAACGGATGGTATGTTAGTGGAAATGCTAAGGCAAAAAAAGGAAGGAAGAAAGGGACATAGAATATGTGTGAGTGTGCATGTGGGTGTGAACGGGTGACGGTGGCTTCTGTTTAACATACAGTGCCCAGGAA